AAAACAAAGTATCTAAGGTGTTTAAATGGCTTTTAAACTCCCTCTGGTGTGATCTGATAGAAGGGAGCCGAATACAAGGAGATACTTTCTATTACAGTCCTTATTTATGCTCTAACTGGCCAGAACTGTTTGGAGAACAGACCGGATCAACATTAGGCGGCATAATCTGTAATGGCTGTTTGATAAATATGTATTTGCAGTCTGACAATTAAATGGAAAACAGCTTCTTGCTTTTAAGAACTAAATTGTTTCTTATTATGCCAAATCACATTGAAATTTAAATCCAGGACAACAAAGTAAAGAGGTCTGTTGCATATTTCATCGTTGCTTTGTAGGCAAGCATAGAGTTTTCAACAATAAACACAAAGCAGAGTCTGTGATTTCAAAGTAAGTAGCTCAATGACTTTATTTTTTAGAGATTATATTAAAAAACATTTAAAAAAAAAACTTTAAAAATAAATAAATTAGCAGCGATGGACATTTAAACATTTAAACAACGTGTGGAATTTGCAACCTGAGTACCTCAGTTCAGTTTCTGTTTTTATCACACCAGTTCACTAAAAACTGTTACTGGAAGACAATACAAGTTGTTCTAAAACATAAACTACTACATACAATTCAATTTGGGAAAAATCTTTTTCAAGTCTGTCTGTGTTTTACCACAATGATATACTCAGATGAAATAAGGTAGAGTTTAATTTACTGCAAAACAGAAGATAATACAGTCTAAATCAGCTGACTAGTGGATAAAAGGTTTAAAAGCTTCAAGTCACTGCAGCAATCCTGCCTCTTAAGCTAACATGTGGTAACAGTGGGGAGGAAACACTGTCTTTTAACAGGAAACCTGAGCCACAACCGATACCTTCTATTGGTAAAATAAAAAGATGATACTGACTGCAGGAGGCAATGGCTTCATCAAGGAAGGGAATAATGTTAAACACAGAATGACTGAGCCAGATAGACTGTTTAATAACAAACAAAATTTATTTTGTTAACAAGATCAGTAAATGGTCACTTCCATTAAAATTAGATAACTAAGCACAGAAGCTCTAGACGTTTAGTACCTTCTATGAGAAAGAAAATAAATAAAGGATGTATAGTCAGTAGCAGAAAGAGACACAGATACTTTCTATGAAAATAATTACAATTGTTGACGGCAGAAAAAGCTTTGTCAGTGTGTTGACCGAGGAAGAAGACATAACTAAAGACAAAATAACTGGAGTACTTTCTATGGGAAAGGGAAAATAATGTGAGCCCATGAAAGAAATAACTTTATAGTACGGAGTTGTTTCCTTATAAGACAAATTAAAATTGGATTACTGGACCAGAAGTAAATCTACGAGAAAGGAAAACCCAGAAAGTACATATAGTTAGCATCAGATATCTTCTTTCAGGAAAGACGTGCAGCTAGAGAAGAACTGAGCCTGGAGTACTTTCCATCCGAACAATCAAACAAGATTCCTCTTTAACCCGAGTAAAACAACAAACCTCCAAAGTTAATAGTCTTTTCTGCAAAGATCATTTTAGGTATTATCACGGCTCGATAAACGCGTTGATTATAAACTGTCCTTAAAAGATTTTCATCTGTCCCTCCTTAATTTGCTCTATACTTGGTTTTTAAAGTTTGACTTTTTTATGATGTTTTGTTGGATTTAACAAGAAAAGAGTAACGATTGCTTGTTTTGTTTTTTCCAGAACTGGTGAAAAGTGCTGCCTGAATTTCAAACCATGTGGACTTTTTGGGAAGGAACTGCACAAAGTTGAAGGTTATATTCTTGATAAAAGGTACAGCAAGAACAGCATTTAGAACAAGAAAAAAAAAACTTCTAAAACTTCTTTTTTTTCCTCTGAAATTTGTGTGTAAAACTTCCAAAAAGCTCTTAGTGGATTTAGCTATTCCACCATAATTCGGAGTTTTTGGAAAATTATTGTTTTTCTCTTCATCATTTGGACGGTAGCCATTTTCAAATTGCTAATTAAATTTCCTGATACCTGTAAAGACTTTGGCCGTTTCTCAATTCACAAGAACACAAGAACTGACTTGTGTCCTTGCCAAGTCTGTTCTTGAGAAGAACCCAGGAAAGTCTGGACTCGGAGAGAATGGGAGCACGCAGAATAAATCTGGGTCCATTGGAACCGAAGCGTACTGATGACATCATCACATTCAACGAACATTCAGCCAAATAAATATAAAAAACCTCCATCAGAGCCAGCGGTATTTTACACACGGCTCTGCAGAGAGAGGGCGTAGCAGACGGGCTAACGTTAGCTCTAGCTACTGTTGGATTCAGATGTCTGCTTCTTGCTGCGGTCCTCTAAACATTAGAACTTTTTTTTTAATCACACACTAAATCAGTAAATGGGCCATATGGTGACGCTTATACTCGTAGGGAAGCGGCCGTTCCAACCGTTTCATTTCCGATTTCTCCCGAGTGGTGCCCGACTTTACACGACTGAATAGAGTGAATGTGATTGGTCGATTATCAAGGGGGCGGGATTGTTGTGGCAGAAGGTTCACAAGCCTTTTTGGTTGTGGCCGGTTTGTCGGAAGCATCTAGCTAACCAGTTAGCAACTTAGTGCTAGCAGGTTCCCAATGGGAAATTCCATTGGGACCAAGTAGC